AGACGTGGGATAAGAGCCAAAAGTTTCACTTTTTCCTGGCGCCGTTTTTTGCAAAAAATTTCGAAGCATTTTGCGAATTTCGCAAGTTAATAGAGTTATACAAAAAAGAAAAGAAGAGGGCTGCTCTTCCTAATAAGCTTTAATTTTGAAGCAAGGCGACGACCAATGACCGGATATAATCAGAATAATGAAGAACTGACGTGGGATTACCCATGCAAATTGGAGTTGAATAAAAGACCAACAACTTTAGTTCTTAATTTTTTGTTGATTAAAATACCACCTAGTTTTTGTACAAACACTTTCCGGGATTCTTACTTCAGATGATCAAAATCATTTCTTTCAATAGGTATAAGGAAGCCAATAAGTACCATAGAGTATCCATACTGAAAAAATTAAGGCCCAGCCTGCCCGAGCCGAGGCACTGAGACTCTTTAGGCTGTCCCGGCCGGGTGGGCCTGGGTTGTCCACATTGGAAGAAAATAAATTTCAGAAAATTTCTCAAATATTCTTCAGTGACACTTCGTTCTTGGCAAGCTTATAAATTGACTGAAAACTTGAAAAAGGGTTTCTGAAAAGCCGGGCCGGACTTTGAAAATTCAGAAAAAATCCCAGATCAGCCCGTTGCAAGTATGACAATATATTTCGATATCTTTTTGTACTTTGTATCCGACCTGACATGTTTCTTTAAACTTTTCGCTTTTTGAATCCCAGCAAAAAAAACAGTCTCTCACCTAATGTCTACCTCAGTTGTTCTGCCCAGTAAGTCCGATTCTCTAATTTTTTTCAAATATTTGCTCTGCCGCCAAAATGTGGCGTTAAATGCGATCCACTTCAAACGAACTCAATGTTTCTTTTCTATCATCACATACATCTCACACGGCAAATTGTCCAGTATACAATATGTTTGAGAAATAAGACAAGGAATTGAGGAATGTGTGAATGAGCGAAAAAAGTGCGAGAAATAAAAGAAGGTTGGTAAATTTTGAACAGAACATCATGGGACATCTGGTGAAACAATCAGAAAAAAGAAGAAGTTACAATAGATTTGTGTGTGTCGCAAGACTTCGGACTGAAGTGAGTGTATGTGTATGTCTATTCGGGTTTTTGGAAACCCATCAAATCTGCGTGCGAAAAACACAACACGACACTAAATTGGGTTGTGGGAGTGGCCGAGGAGCACCGCTACCACGATCATCATTAAGGCCAACACCATCACCCCAAAAACGTATTATTTTTCTGGGAACCCAGAAACGAAATAGAGTCTAACCACATTTTCAACAATGCAGAAGGTCACCGGACCAGAATGGTGTTCTTGGAAAAAAAAGGACTTCGTGTTTCCCATTTTTTTTACAAATGGGTGTTTTGTACCCAAAATATCGAATGAACCAATTAAATGAGAGAAGATAATATTTTGCAGGTTTCTACTTTGGAATCGGGTTAATTTCCGTACTGTTTTGAACAAGGAATTCCTGATAATTCTGATGGGAACCAACGGAGCGTGTTTCTCAATTTTAAAATGAGGATCTGAATCACTTCTAATTGTATTTCAATCAGAATACTTGAAATATGAAAATTAGTACCAACGATAATGGGTCAGTGATATTCCGTAAAATATAAAAAGAGTGATAATTTATCTTATCAGACAAGTCTATAACTGGACCACCGTAGAACCTGTAATAAAAGGGCCGGCAAGGTTGAACTCAATTATATCATTTCCTATACAAGATGTGAAAATGTGTCAACCGAAAAAAAAACCTGATATTATGATAAAGAGTTTAACAGTTAAGGATAAATTCTATTGCAGGTTTACGGTATATAAGCCCAGGCTCATTTTAAAACTGATAACATTCCAGGGAGTGAAACACAGGGTGAGTGTAGACAGTGGCTGTGGGAGTTCAAAAAAGAGAAACTGTGATTGATCAGAGTCTAACACGTTTTACCTTATGTTTGCACACTTGTTGTCGTCGGTTGAGAGATTGAAAGTAACGAAAGAAGGCTCGGATCACACTTCAGATTCTTGTACTTACATCTTATCGATCTGACTGCAAAACGGGAGAGAGAGAGAGAGAGAGAGAGAGAGAAAGGAAGAGAAAGATCCAGGAAAAGCAGCTCTACCCGACAAGAGAAACGCATGTTCGCACGTCAAGGTGTCGATTTCAGGTCCGCGATACCTAGAGGAGTAGAATTGGATATTGGATTGGGTGTGACGAAGGGCTAACGGCCGAAGGTTATACACAGTTAAGAGAAGAAGTCTAAAAGTTCATAAGGACCAGAAGAAGTTGAGCACACACACAGGAATAGAAGAAGAAGAAAAGGACCCATGGACTACGATCACTATGAATGAAGGGAGACGAGCTGGGATAAATCTCAGAAGAGCAGCAGATAAAACCGAAATAAAAAGCAAATACAAGACGGGAGGAATAGAGTGTGGGGCATCTTCGACGGCTTTCGCAAAGTGAAATTTGAGTAGACCGCCGCTTGTGGCTGCCGTGCTCCATCTCGGAGGGAACTTCTCATTCATTAGCCACCTCGAAAGAAATTGAAGAAAAAGTAGAAGGATTTTAGAATGAGAATAAGAAACTTTATGAATGATCCATAGAAACAGAAAAGCCCATTGGGAGCAATTATTCCAGAAAACGTCAGTTACGCCATTTTCGAGACCCATCAAAGAATATACGAAATTTTGAGGAAATTGGAAAAAAGAGATGAGGATCCCATTGTAACGAAAATGATCATCTTTTTTGATCCTCGAACATCATTCGTTTGAAATATATCCGTCCTATACATAATGCTGGTAAAAAATGAACATTCATGTGAATGAGAGCCAGAAGAATCCAGCTGTGGATCAAGCATCAGAGATAAAAAAGACACAGTTGAGGGATCGAAAAACAAGATTGTAGCTTTTGAAATTTACATAGCTTTTGAGAGTTACACTTTTTACCTGAAGTGTAAACCAGAATGATTTGAGACATGAGTGGTTTGAAAGCCAGTGAATCTGTTCTAGAGGATTAAAAGTTGGAGACAACAGCAGCACACTGTAGCGTTGTCTCCATGAATGTTTGAATGTCTCGGTCGTGTTTTGGTGGTCGGAAATAATTTTCGAAAGTTGACCATTGAGATTTTTAATAAATTCAAAAGTTGAGTGGGCACAAAAAAGTGGTATTGCCAGACATCAAAGTGTACCTGACATTGTTCCTTATTTTCAAGTGGGTGTGAATACGGGAAAGTTTTGAAATCATCATTGACTATTTATGATTTTGGTTCGATGAACAAGTGGGAAGTTTTGGAAAAAAAGATTTTTGAAGATCAGAGGTAAATATAGGAATCGAGATAAAAATCAAATTCTAAAATCTCTGGTTCTATTATTGTTATTACAGCTAAGAATTGATTGGATATACCAGAGCCGAAAAAAAAACTAAAGCTATAGTTTCTTTTAGTTGCTCCTGAAAATTTGCTGCATCAATGAGTAATATACCGTAAAACCTGTAATAGAAAGGCCCTCTAACTTTAAACTTTGAACCCAATTTATCTATAATTCTCTAAACAAAAGTTGACACATGTTTGATATTTTGTATAGGAGCCAAGAAGAATCAGGTCAAACTTGATAGGGTGGGGCTTTATATGTCAGGCTTTACGGTAGTATTGAAAACTCTGTCTGAAGCTCGTTAAGTCACCAAAGAAACGGATATTTCAGATCCCGTGAAACCTGTATTAGAAGGGTTCCCCAAACAGGCACTGAAAAATAGAAGGGCACCGGAAATAGTAGGACTCCACTCAAATTTACGAAGTTTTTCCGAATTTGCTCAATTAGGAATTTAGGAAAAAAATTACCGGAAAAATAGAAAGTCCCCTCTAATTGGCTCATGTAATAGGAGGGCCCTCGTTGTACGTTGAAACAATAGAAGATTGAAACAATAAAAGGTCCGACCCTTGTAATACAGATTTACGGAATTTCAATCAAATTGTTTTTTTTTCAAATCCTAAAAACAAGTATTAATAAATTATGCTCATGATTGCCCATATTTGTTTTTGTTCCTGCAAGAAAAAAAACCAAATCAATTCCTATGAAAGGTTCTTCTTCTCCCTTGCTCCTCTCATTCAGATTTTTTTGGTCCCAAAAAAATTTAGTGCCTCCACTCCATTACTTCTTTTCTCTCTAGCACCTATTTTCACAGCTTCCAAACGTTCTTCTCTATTCATACCTAAAATTCTAAAGTCATTCGAAATGCATAATAACGTTCTATGGTCCCCATGTGTTTTTTTCGTTTTTTAGTAACATATACTACAAAATTTGCATTTTGTTGTAAACATCCACATGTCTATAGTCTCTAATGATTCTCGAAGATATTCCGAATGGAAACCCGGTTTTCCTCATTTTGCCTAATTTTCTAATTTTGACACGCTGACCTCGTAAGACTCCCCAGAATTTTCACATGTGGGTGTGCCTTTTATAAATGCATTATTTCAATAAATTGAATTTAAAAGTGAGTTTCTTTTTGCTGTATTTTTCTTGTTTTTAATCGATTTTCCCCAAGACCTGATCCCCTGACCTAAATAGTTCCCGATTCTCTTTTCAGTGTTCAATTGGATTTCTATGCTATTGATTGTGTTTGGATTCATTTTTCTATGTTTTATAGTCGATATCTTCGAATATTTTTGGCTTTTCTATCAAAGAAGACGGGCGGTAAAGGAGATGGTGGATTTCGAAAGAATGATGGAACACGTGGCAGGTATAGGGGTATTTTAGTCGTGAGACATACATTTCATGTTGTTGTCTGGAATAGAGTATTTGGGTCTAGAAGTCTAGAAGTTATTTATGAGCTTGAGTGATGAAGAGGAGGAACTGGGAATTGATCGGAAGGAATACGTCAAGAAGCCTTGTTTTTCTGCGTTCCAAAAAACTTCAAAGTGCTCATGAACAATTTTGACTATGCTAGCTACTTGGTTTAGTCTTTGCTAATTTATCTTATACTGTCCCTTACTTGAAAAATATCAATGCCATGAGTGAGATTTAGAAAAGACAAAAGACATTTCTGCATAGATATCAATAACCAGAAAATATTTAAAATTAAAAAATAAATAAGGATCAATTTCAGGAGGCAGCTTCGTTGGAATGCCACTGTCACCAAATGAGCAAGTTCTTCGAGCCGTCTGCTACTGGTGAGGCTCCTCATATTTTCCGTGTTTCTTCTTCATTAAGAATCCTGTGAAGATTCAAATTTCTTAATTAGATTTGTTTTGTTCCAGCGACAAAGCAACATTCGCCCATCATCGTCTCCGCCGTGTTGATCCTCTGATGCCGATTCGATTTTCGACTGGAAACGACGAAGAGATTTCAGCAGTGGACGAAGGTGGGACAGTAGAAGAGTACTCCTTATGAACACTTTTTCCATGAACCTTTTTGCTCTTTTTGGCCTTTGAAAGTGTCTTTTGTCTTTGAATAATCAGTCAACATGCTCCACCATTTTGAGCAGCCACACTGACGACTTCTGATGAATAAGAAACGTGTTTTTCTTTGCTTCTGCATTGCTTCTACCAATTCCGGGGTCCCTTTTTCTTTGTTTTTTGACTCTTTTTCTGCTGGTTTGCTCTTCCTTAACTCTGGTTTCTATTCTAATCCGTTGTTCGGACGTCCTCTACTCCACTGTCGATATCATAGAGAAAAAAGGGGTTTGTCAACGAGAAACAGACAAAAAGTAATGATGCTGACGGAGTATGTCAATCATTGAAAGTCGACTACTACTCCAGCTCCATTTTTCTTTCATTCACAACTTTTTGTTTTGTGTCTTCTTCCACCTAAAAAAGTGCTTCTTCCACGCCGATCAGCATTCTAGATTAGCCTATGCATACAAGTGTACGTATGTTCCTGAGATTTTGACGTCGTTGCGTTTTCTATTCTGGTTTCTTCGTTGTGCATACTTTTTTCAATATATTTCGATGGCGTTGAGTGCAACTCTTCATTGTTCTCTTTTTGGTCCGAATAGAGGGTGCTAAACTCTTTTTTCATTTCTTCTTACATTCCAATGACCTTAAAACTTTTTCCTCGTTTTTTTCCTTCTGCAGTTCGGGTACATCGATCAAAAATTAGAGAAATTCCAAAAAAAAATCGGATTGATTACTCAAGAACTTTTTGTTTAGATGAGCTTTTTTTTACTGGAGCTCCAAAAAGTTTCATATCTGGAGAAAAATCTTGCTCTGAACGCTGACTAAACTAAAGTTCAGTTTGAACTTTTCAGAGTTCCTTTTCAGGGGTTTTCGTTCAAAATCGAAAATCATGTACCATTTTATAATAAAAAAAGTTTCCGATTTTTCATGAATTTGATGGTATTTGGTGAATGAACTCTTTTTACAAGAGTCTTGTTTTAGCCTTCTTCCATCCGCCAATTTTATACAGTAAACTCTGAAATACACGGGCCCTCACACTCTCAAGTTTGGATTAATTTTTTCTTGGCTCCTATGCAAGATATCAAAAAAGTATCAACGGATGAAATGTTCGTGATACTAAGATAAACAAATTATCAGGTGGCAACTTTTTTATATCTTTGACAGGAATCGAGAAAAATTGGTTCAAAATTATAGATTAGAGGGTCCTTCTTTTACAGGTTTTATAGCGTCTTATATAGTGCTACAAATTGAAGCTTATTATTCTCATAGTTTGAAAAATGCTTTACTCCCAATACTAATAATAGAAATGTCTCTCGTAACAACTTCTTGAAACAAAATATATCCCGGTCACTACGATTGTTCCCTTGAATCCTATCAATTGTTTCCGGGTCTTGTATGTCCGCATCGATGATAAATGTCCATTTCCTGACTTTTCCCCTTGATTTCTGTGCTCTAATTTTTTCTCGTTCATGACCAGCGGGTCATTTTAGGTACACAGCCCAATGTTTTCAGTTTCCACTACCTTCTCCAATATTCATTAGAACACTGAAAAAAGTAAGAATACGAGAGGATGAAGGTGAAGGTGGAGGAGTGACGGATTGATATCGAAAAATGCATTTTCAATGAAAAAAGGGTGTTGATTGAAGAGGTGGGCGGCGTTTTGCAAGAAGGATCGGTGACCGATGGGACACTCTCACCGTCCAAAACCTCTTTCATTTTCGGATACCAATCGTCGAAAAGTGTTGAGCACAGAGTAACAAGTGGAATACAGCTCTTTGCCTAATTTGCCCCCCGAAAAACCGACTCGTGCTCCTTTGCCCCATATACTCCCCCCACCCCCGTTTTCTCTCTTAAAAGACGACAATGGACTCCTCAAAACAATTTTGGTCAGGAAAACAGAAAAATGCGTGTTTGCCCTCTCCTATAGTGAAGTTTAATAGGTTCGTCTCGAAACAAACTACTAGAATGACCTGTGGCTTCTCCCTTTCCGATTTTTTTTTCACTTCCTCATCGCTTTTTACAACTTTTTTTTGCTCAGTGTGGGTCCCATACCACCCACCGTCTCTCTTGTCTCCTACTTTTACCATATGCTTCAGAGCTCGGATTTGTTTTTTGTTTTTTAGTCACGAACAACGAAGGTTTTTTTACGAAACTGAGAATAGTATGACAGGTAAACGTAGAATGGTTAATTCTGAAATTGAAAAGAATTCTAACTAGAACCAAAGACAAAAGATAAATTATATTTATGCAAATTCCAGTGTCTCATAATAGCTCTGAAAGAGGAGGACCAGAAGAAGACCGAGTCATAGTCTCATTTTGTTTTTTTGTTCCTGAAGGATCAACCCTCGGGTTTTTTCTTCACGTCAAGATGTTTGTATGGGATCCTTCACTCAGCTGGTCGAGGAGACAGGACAACTGTTCCAAAATGTTGTCCCCCCATAACTTGCTGAACCCCCATAACTTATATTTTGTCACTTTTTCTGAAAAACCTATCTTCTTGAGATATGATATTACCGGTAAGATTTGTAGGAGAAAATAGAGCTAATTCTGAAATATGAAACAGGAGAGAGAGAATAAAACACATTTTCAGGGAGGAGTGAAACAATTGGCTCTCAGGCAATTTGTCGCTCTTTGCCCATCTCTTTCAGGAATCACAGCTCAATATATTTTCTCTTTTCCCACCTACTTCATGTTCGTTGTTTCTATCATCATCTCTTATCTTATCTTATGTCTCATATACCTCCTTTTTTCATTTTTTTTTTCGATCCGTTTGTCGGTGAGGACAAGCAGTCAGCTGAACAAATGTACAACAGGTTGTGTCACCTTCATCAAGGCCAAGTCTCCTGATGCTTGAGGTGTTTCTAAGTGCTCCGTATACTTAGAAATAGGTTCTTCGCAATAGAACTACCGTAATACATAAACTTCTGGTCTGTGGATATCTTCTCTAAAATTTTTAAAGTTTAGATAATCTTAAACTATCTGAAATTAATTCTCTGCTCTGAAACTTTGACGAAAAATTTCCAAAGATTTTCGATAATACCCGAAAGAGAGTTGAGTTGAAATTCGATAGACCGATTAATCGTAGAGAATTTCAAATTAATGAACCCGATTTTCTTTTTTTTTCAGCTGAACCTTCTGCCCAGACATCGTAAAACTAGAATTTATAGAACATTCAATGCAATTAAATTTTGCTTTAATAGCTTGCTCCGCGTTCATAACCTCATATCCATTCCGTCCATTAATAAAACTCCAGGAAACAAAAACTACCTGGAACAACACACAACAACTATTTTTGTTGATGTCTCATCCTTTCCAAACTTTTCAAATATTCCGAAATCCTCCTACGTTTTTTTCCACTTTCCATTTTTATATCTCCTACCATTTTTAGCGAATTGCAAGCACTTACTTCTTCTTCCACCTACGAAGAGCAACCAGAAGAGAGGAGGACCCATCCATCTCTCGTCTCCAAAGGTTCTTATGAACATTGGAGCACGGTCCAACGAGCACGACGACCCTATAGTTGAGGATTGAAGAGGTGGGGGGAAATAACAAAAAAAAAGAAGAGCCAACGACGACACATACCTGAAGGACATCTTCTATTCTATATTTTCAGCTATTAGTCAGTTTATGAGTCCCGTTTCTATTGCTATTGTTGTTTTTGTTGTGTATAGAAACGAAATGGAAAAACAACAAATTATACAAAAATGTGTCAGAAGGCAGAGAGAGAGAGAGAGAGAGAGAGAGAGAGAGAGAGACAGAGAAAACCTCCGAAGGACCACCCCAAAAATAGGAAAGCAGAAAAAAGTGAGAGTGAGGTTTCGTTTTCAGAACAGAACCACTAAACCGACAGGAGAGAGTAAAAGAAAGCAACTGAAAAATTAAAATTCTCTTCTCTAGTCACTTCTATTATTTTCCTTATTTCCATTCGTCTTATTTCCTAAATTTTCAGCATCCATTGTTTTCAAAAAAGGCCCCTACTTTTTGGCCCGGCCGACGACGACGACAACGACACAAACACCCTTTAATTTTATTCTGAACGCCTAAACTGCCAAGATGTTCATTCACAACGTTTTTATACTTGTCACAGGTGAGCTTTTTTAGGACTAGAAATTCTCCGAAAAGTTTGATTGTTCCAAACCCAACGTTCGGCTGACCAGAACACAAAGATTCGCTCATCATCAGCCATCAGATGTTAATTTACAACAAGAAAGAGTCTCCGCATTCTTTTCTTTTTTGAGGACCTCTGGACATTGCAACAACAAAAAGTAGTAGAAGTGGTAGTAGTACACACCATTTCTTCTTTTTTCATTTCCTTGAAAAGTGTGGTAGGGTACGAGAAAACCGGGAGCAAACGATGCTAATCTTAGTGACAGCCACATGATGAATTTTCAATTGGGCTAAAAGCCAGAACTTTCTTTTTCAAACTTCCAAGGTTGGTTAGCGTAAAGTGAACAAGAAACGCTTGTAAAAATAGCACATGTGGAGACTGCTTCGAGAAGACTCTTTGGTTTTAAGACCTGAAATGAATTTCAGTATCGGTATGCATTGCCGCAGAGCCACCAGTGCCAACGCAAATCAGATTGGTTCATGATCTACTCGACAACTACGACAAAAAAGCGAAGCCAATGTGGGATAACTCTAAACCAATAAATGTGTCTTTTTCGATGGATCTCTATCAGATTTTGGAGCTCAACGAGCCACAACAATATATTTTGCTCAACGCCTGGATTATAGAGGTACGAATGGTTCCAGAAGGCAGAAAATTTGCAGACCTTGGCGATGTTGCTAAATACACTTTTTTAAACAAATGCAATTTGCTCGAAATTGCTAAATTACCAATTGACCTTCGAAAAAGCATCACTAATTGATTTTCACCCAAAATAGCTCTGTGGATGGCTGGCACGGAGTCTGACTCCGAATTTTTTGATTAGATAACCTCTAGGATTTAGTAGGTCAGGAAATGACGCGTGATCTTCGGGTGCACATTGAAAAAAAACGAGCGGAAATCTATGCATACAAGGTGTTCACCAATTTTCGGTTGATAGAGCAATGCGCGAGCAAGTGGAAGTTTGTTGAGAAATGTGCAAAGAATATAGAAGAATAAGTAAAAAAAAAACGGAGAAATACCTCTTTTTTATTCGTCTCTACGTTTTTTAGCGATGGTTCGACGAGTTTCTCTACTGGAATCCAGACGATTATGAGAATATAACGGAGCTTCGTTTGCCGTATGATTCCATTTGGTTACCAGACACCACACTTTACAATTCTCTGGTGATGAAAGACGATGACACGAGACGACTTCTAAATGCAAAGCTTACGACGGACACTCAAAGAAGGGCTGCACTGATCGAGTTGCTCTATCCAACGATCTACAAGTTCTCATGTCTTTTAGACTTGCGATTCTTCCCATTCGACGTCCAAGTACGTTTTTTTCACCGAACAAAAAAGTTTCCAATTAGCGAGTAAACTTTGCGAAAGCTAAAAAAAACTAAACTCATTAACTTTGCGAGACCAAAAAAAGTACGAAAAATGTTCTTGTAGGTCTGCACAATGACTTTCTCCTCTTGGACTTATGACCAAAAAGGAATCGACTATTTCCCATATTCCGATAAAATTGGAACATCAAACTATTTGGAAAACGAAGGATGGTACATTTTGCAGACGAAAAGTGAGAATAGCTAGAGCCTAAGCTGTTGACACATGTGATCTATTTTTCAGTCAAGAGGCGAGAAGTGAAATACGCATGTTGTCCGAATAACTACACGTTACTGCAGTTGACGTTGTATCTTCGAAGAAAACCGCTCTTCTATCTTGTCAATTTGATTATCCCAACATCCATCATCACACTTATCGCTATTGTCGGATTCTTCACGTGAGTCTCAAGCTCTGAAATTTGATCTGACCTGACTATTGATCTGAAAAAAAAAGACAAAAAGTGTTAATTTCCACTTTCCAGAACATCATCTGCTTCTGGAATGAGAGAAGAAAAAGTGTCCCTTGGTATCACGACACTTCTCTCAATGTCCATTTTGATGTTGATGGTATCGGATCAAATGCCTACTACATCTACATTTATTCCTCTTATTGGATGGTTTATTCTGGCAATGATAATAGTGATTTCTCTTGGAACAGTAGTCTCTTCTGTCATTATTGCCATCCAAAAACGAGGAAGTCTTGGAGAGCGAATGTCCAAGAGAGCGCTCAAGTAAGTGCATTCTTTCCTTTTCCATTGTTTTTTTGCTCAACTCATTTTATCCGTTTCACTTAACATATTCCCTTTTCTATTCTTAGATTTGCCAAAGTCCTTGCCTGGTTCACATGCACATCACTACCTCCCCATGTGGAGAAAGAACATATGATGGAAGCGTTCGACGCACCAACGCCTTCAGTAGAAGTGCGTCCAATACAACTCGCTAGTGTCAAAGAATCCGTTCGGAACAAATGGGTCAGTGGAGCTCGTCGAGCTACACAACGAGGCAACAGTGGTCTGGCTCTGATCTCAGACAAAAGCACGGATCCACTCATTCATCTATCACCCAGCGCTCATCAACAAGGTACATAACCATGATATCTGGTCGAGGATTTAATTATATCTTCAGATGAATCCATTTCTCCATCTGCGCCACCAGTCCCATCCACATCTCCTCTTCCACCACCACAAACTCCTGGACCAGCTGATGACGTGGTTTCTGTAGCTTCAGAGCTATCATCTAAATTCTTGATGAGCAGAATGCGTCCAAAGTCACAGAAGGAGAACACATTTGCGGCCATGCAGAGTGAGTTTCATTTCAAAAGAGTAACTTTTTGTGGCGATTTTTGGCCTTTCGAACCGAGGTTCTAATCCTTCGATTCGTCAAAAAAGAAAAGTTGCCAAATTTTCTTTTCCTTTTCCATTTTCACTGTCAATAGTACAACGTCTTATTTCTTGTAGAAACTGGATTAAGTCGAAGCTCTTTCAGACAAGGTAGGTCTCGTCGTAAAGTAATCTCTTCTTATTCTATCAATTGGTTCTCATCACCTTTTCTATTTATAATTTTGATTCTTCAGTTAATTAGTATATCTCTTTATTGTCATTATGTGAAGACTCATCGGAGAGTAATGTATCACTAGAATTCACATTATGACATGTCCGAAGTCCCATGTATACCATTTATTTCAGATAACTAAAAACTCCGATTTCAGGTTCGATCAAAGCCAATCGTCAATTGGCAGTTGCTGAGTTCGAGTGGCTGGCTACTGTAGTCGAGAGGACATGCTTTGTCATTTTCGTTGTTGCTTTCCTCATAATCACTTTCGGAATCAATTTCATCGGATTCGTGCATTGGCATCAGGCTGGTGTTGAATTCGGCGGATGAACATTTCTATTCGTTTTTCTAAATCTGAACACTCTTTCCTTTCGGTTTGCTATTCTATCCCAAACAAATGACGCGGTTCCTGATAATCTCTTTTTCTCTTTCCTATTCCATTTCCATTTTTTCGTTTTCCTGCTTTTTTTACTCAATTCACATTTGCTTTCACTGTCTGTATTTTTAGAAAATAATCATGTTCTTTTTTCTCTCTTACTTCTCTTTGGCTTGAGCTTCATTCATTTTTTCTCTTCATTTCCTCCGATTTTTCAAAAAAACGATCCACTCCTCTAACGAATAAATTATTCCTCTGGCTTCCCATTTTTCCACCAATTATTTGTTTTTTCCAGTGTCATTCTCACTGTATTTTATATCTCCTATTCACTTTGATTCATTTTTAAATTTTATTTTCTAACACATTTTCCAGGTTACATGAGAAGATGACGTTAAATCTAACCATTCTGATAGTCTTGCTGACATCAGTAGCAGCCAACAAAACGTCACATTCGCTCAATGCAACCTTGAAAACTTTCGGTAAGTTTTCCAGAACAATCTTCTCGAAACATTGGCACTTTTTAGACCCACGATTACTTAACTCGACGGCTGATCGAGACATAGCAATGCAGAATGTTCCTTTGATCCGTCTAACCAGGCATCTTCTGTCTCCGGAGAGATATGATGTCCGAGTCAGACCAATTCTTGATCACAAGAAATCCCTCAAAGTGCACATCAGCATATCCCTCTATCAGATTATAGAAGTGGTGAGTGAACTGCTCAACAGCTTTTGAAAAAAATAGCTCAACAGTTTCTTAAAATTTTATTTAGGATGAACCTTCACAAAATATCAAACTGAATGTTTGGATGATTCAAAAGTGGAAGGACGAGTATCTCGACTGGAATCCGAATGAATTTGGAATGATAACTCCACCATCATTCCATTCCATCATCTCTGGATTCCTGACACATACCTCTACAACAGCGTAAAAATGAGTCGAGATGAAACAGAAAGATACATGAATATCCAAGTGACTTCAAACTATTGGAAGGGAGAAAAGGGATCTGAACTTTCTTTCCTCTATCCTGCAATATACACAATCACATGCAGATTGAACATTCGATTCTTTCCATACGACAGACAGAACTGTACACTGACCATTTCGAGTTGGACGAATTCAAAATCTGCGCTCGATTACTACGCAGATCCACAAGTCAGCATGCAATCATTCATTCCCAACGAAGAATGGCAGGTGAAGTCATTCGAAATTCATAGACACGAGGTTTGTTTTCTAAGGAACATTTGAAACAAAAAACCAATCAAATCTATCAATTTCAGTACAAATACGCATGTTGTGCCGAGCCATGGGTGATCCTTCAAGCTTCATTGGTTATTCAAAGAAAACCGCTTTACTACCTCGTAAACCTCATTATTCCAACATCCATCATTACTCTTGTGGCTATCACTGGATTCTTCACTCCGGCCTCTACAGATGATGATAGAACAGAAAAGATTAATTTGGGTATCACAACGCTTCTAGCAATGTCTATCTTGATGTTAATGGTGTCTGATCAAATGCCCACCACAAGTGAATTCGTTCCACTCATCGCTTGGTTTTACCTCTCCATTATTATCATCATTTCTATTGGAACTTTTTTGACAAGTGTGGTTTTGTCTGTGCAAGGACGTCGTCAATACGGAAGGAATCCGCCGCAATTCATCCGTTACATCTTCTTCGTTATTCTTCCACAAGTTCTCCTTCTTAACGTTCCTCCACCACTTCAGACCCTTTGGGGTGAGCTCGATGATGACCCATTGAATGTTCGACGACGAAAGAAGTCTCAGCTCCTCACCAGAAACATTCACAACGGATCAACTAAAATGCAATCACCAATGTAAAAAAATACTCCGTAATTCAGTTTGAATGAATTTTTTTCAGGTCAACACTACGTGTGCCTCCATCTGCTGGAAGCGTTTCTGATAAGCGCCAATCCTTCCAAATGATTGATGTTACATCTCCAAACTCTCCGAACACCGCAAGATCTCGTGCACCTTCTCTTGCTCCGTCTACAGCCAAAGCTACGATGTGGGAGGGTACTATGTCGGCCCTTGCAGGTAAAAAATCTGAAAAATTGATTGAAAAACAAAACTTTGTTAAGGAACAAATACACAACTGCGGAGAACTTCAAATGTTTTCAATAAAGAAGTGGATGAAATGCGAAGAAAACGACAATGCTCTCTGGAGTGGGAGTTCTTGGCTACCGTACTTGATCGGTTAGTATATTCCAGTAATGAAATATTTCAAAACATATAATTTGAAATTTGCAGGTTCCTTCTAATAGTATTCGTCGGAGCAGTTCTGATTGTCACCTCTGGTCTGATCCTTGTCGGAAGAATGGCCCAATACAGTTATGATCATCCTGATGACCAATTCTTCCATGTCTAAATCTCTTCTTATTTTTTATCTTTCCTCTCATTTCCACCTCTCATTTCTCTCCGAATTTCTCGAATAACTATGCGACGAATACCGGTAATTTGCTTGCTATCTGGTTTTTAATTTTGACAGATTTCTATGGCTTTGATTAAGATTTCTATTTGATCTGACAATGAATAAATTTTTAATTCTTAAAACATAAATACTCAGGTAATTCTGGGGAGGTTGGGGCCTAATCGGAGCTGATGTGGGAGTTACCCGTGAAGTTTGGGAGTTACCCAATCGAAACGGGAGTTACTCATGTTATTTGGGAGTTACCCAGACGATATGGGAGTTACCCGTTATGGGGACTATGTGGGGGCAAAACAGGGAATGCTGAATTTCAGGCTCTCCTTTCTTACAAGCGGGGGCTATAGTGAGTGGGGATTCCCCTGTCGACTGGAAAGAGGGGAACGGGAGGTAGATGGGGGCTAAATGGGGAGCGCCAACAGAGTGTACTGGCACCAGCGGATCCTCGATGACGAAAATTTTGTTCTAAGTTTTTTTGTGATGATTTGTCTTACTATAACCAATATTCTTCTTTCTCCGTACCCGAAGCGTTCACGAAGGTAAACGAAAAAGGAACTTGTGAGTGATCTTCCTTGTTTCTATCGAAAGTTATTTCATTTATTCAGGACTGATACAAAAAAAGGAGAAAGACAACGATGGTGAAAAAAAGGATCGTATGACTCCAGAAAAAGATTAATGAATCACGGAGAGAAAAATTGAGAATGTAAGTGTCATGAAAGGTTGTTCCCCATATAATCTCCATTTTCCAGCGAACTTAGCAAAAAATTGGACAGGATACTGACCGACTACTCCAACGAAAGATAATTTCTCCCCTTTCAATTCCAGCTCCATCTTTTGATTTTTACTGGCTGTTTGTATTTCTTCACAATATTATGTTCTTTATTCTGCTGTTCATCTAGAGTAGTATACATATTATCAAAGACTGTTTTGCGTTTCTGTGTAATTAATAAACTTGGTTTTGAAAAGCCAATGTCGTTTGGAAATCGGGGGCAAAATGGGGGAGAAATGGGGCTGATGTGGGGCCTATATGGGGATTTCCACCGTGCGCCGCCGACTGCCCAAACGGGCGTTACCCGTCGAAAAGGCATNATGATAAGATGCATAAATAAAGAACGAGAGAGAAATTAAGTGTACTGTTTTTTTTCAACAAATTCTGAATTACCAGTTATTTTTTATCGAATGAGATGAGCATTCTCTTGACTGTTTTCATAATTGTCTTTTCTTTGACTTGCGAAGAAAAATATAAATTACTCACTTTTACCCCAATTGAAAGTAAGACTGGTTTTCCAACTGGGTCGGCGATATACTTGTATGTGTACATAATTAGTAAGATATGGGTCAATCGGATTGGCGCCTTCCTACATTAGAAGCTGAAGACTATTCAAAACAATAACAATCATTACATTCGATTCTTGATAATGGCGAGTTATATTGTTACTGATTTCTTTACTTATATATTTTCCAGATTCTTTTATTTCTAGCTTGCTTTGCTCATTCAATTCTTTCTGCTCCAG